GTGCAGATGGAGGCAGATGCGGGGCAGCCCCCGTGGGCTGTGCCAGAACCTGGGGAAAGCGGGGTGGCCAGATGGTTCCTGGGGAGAGCGGGGTGGCTGGAGGGTCCCCACAGAGAGTGGGGTGGCTGGAGGGTCCCTGCAGAGAGTGGGGTGGCTGGAGGGTCCCTGCAGAGAGTGGGGTGGCTGGAGGGTCCCTGCAGAGAGTGGGGTGGCGGATCGAGGGTCCCCGCGGAGAGCGGGGTGGCTGGAGGGTCCCCACAGAGAGTGGGGTGGCTGGAGGGTCCCTGCAGAGAGTGGGGTGGCTGGAGGGTCCCTGCAGAGAGCAGGGTGGCGGATCGAGGGTCCCCGGGGAGAGCAGGGTGGCAGATCGAGGGTGCCCAGAGCCTGAGACTTGGAGGAGTGGACTCGTCTTGGTGGCCCTGGGCCCCCGGGCTCTGCTCTCGGGGGAAGGAGAGCAAACGCCTCTTGTGGAGGTGACTGTTGTTCGGGTCTCTGTCACCTGCAACCACCCCCAGTGTTGGAGAGGGTGACGCCGGGCCCAGTGCGGGGAGATGGTCCCACGAGGCGTCCGGAGCGGCGTTTTGTCTGGCCTGTTGGGTGTCTGTGTTCCAGTGGCGGTGGTTGGGGTCTGGTGAATGAATTGTACTTATTTGCTGTCACCTCGGCTGCGTTTCGTCCGCCGGGTGGTGCACGTGCTTGGATGGCGGAGCTTGGGGGTCTTTTGCTGTCAGCTGCAGCCACCTGCTCTCTCTGGACCCTCATCCTGGGCAGCGCCTGGCGTTGTTTCCCCAAATTTCCCTCCGTAACATTGAAATCGGTACCTCTTTCCTTTTTCTTTTTTTTTTTTTTTTTTGAGACGGAGTCTCGCTCTGTCGCCCAGGCTGGAGTGCAGTGGCGCAATCTCGGCTCACTGCAAGCTCCGCCTCCCGGGTTCACGCCATTCTCCTGCCTCAGCCTCCCGAGTAGCTGGGACTACAGGCGCCCGCCCCTGCGCCCGGCTAATTTTTTGTATTTTTAGTAGAGACGGGGTTTCACCATGGTCTCGATCTCCTGACCTTGTGATCCGCCCACCTCGGCCTCCCAAAGTGCTGGGATTACAGGCGTGAGCCACCACGCCCGGCCCTCTTTCCTTTTTCTTCCCTCAAAAAGGGAGCTTCTTAGGATGATGCGTTTCACTCTGAAATAGCAAAAGGCAAGAATAGGCAAATAACGAAATAATGATCCCAGAGTTCTGAGCAAGCATTAAGGAGGGTTTCTCAAAAGCAAATCCCGGTGTGGCCGCATCCCCGACCACGTGCGGCCGTGCTCGAGCGCGCCCGTCACACATAGCTTTGGAAGGCACCTGTCATGCATCTCCCATCTTCACGCATCTCCCATCTGCCTTTCTTCTCCTCAGAACGGGGGCAGGCGTGAATTTGCAGCCGGAGAAACGGGGAGCACCGTGTTCCCATACGAGGCCCTTCATGAGCAGAGAGGAGCGACAGCTGCGTTAGGGCCTGGACAGGGGAGGGTCAGGAGCGGGCTCAGCTGAACAAGGGGCCTTGGGACCCCATAACCAAAATTCTCTCCACACAGCCATCCTCCTCTTTTTCAGTCTGTGGTTACATAGAATTACTTTCACCTAAGCCAGGTAACGTGGCTCGTCCCGAAAGTGGAGGCTGCAGCCCTGGGCACAGGGAGGCGAGCCAGAGGCTGCAGGGCTGCCCTTGCTGGGTGGACAGGGCCTTGCCCTCACCTGTGCCCTCGGCCGGCTGTGGATCTCCAGCCCAGCCCTCCTCTCCCTGGCGCCGCCTCCTGCTTTTGTGACAGCTCGCGGGGACCTTGAGTAGGGACACGCCTGTGAGCTGGGGCTACGGCATCTCCTGAGTCCCCAGCTCCAGCTCAGCTCACGTGGCCCCTGGTGCTCCGTGCAGCTTACAGGGTGGTTAACCTGGGCCGGGTGCCGTAAGGAGGCCCCGAGGCCACAGTCGCCACAGCGGCCACCAGGGGCCATTTGTGCCTCCCCGGAGCCCTTTAGTGACGGGGAGCGTGGGGTCTTTGGTTTCAGAAGATGAACGCAGGCTGTGTTACAGGCCCCATCCGCGCACCCGAGACAGGCGGCCTGTGATTGTCACTGACGCAGTACAAGTTCCAAGTGTAATTTCGGAAGAGTGCATGGGTGAGAGCTGAGCGGCAAGGCCACCCCAGTCCCGGCCCCGTCACCTGCCAGAGCGACACTTTCCGTCAGCCACCGCGTCTCCCACCGGCCCGCGGCTGTGTCCTCCTGCCTGCCGCAGGCCTGAGACCCCCACTCCCCTGCCTGCCGCAGGCCTGAGACCCCCACTCCCCTGCCTGCCGCAGGCCTGAGACCCCCACTCCCGGCGAGACAGGGTTGGGGAAAGGCCAAAACTTGGTGCAGGCAGAGGAGCGCCAAGGCCTTTTGTGCTAGGTGGCCCTGCGTGCGGAGGGTGGGGCTGGGGTCGGCCTGGCTGGACTGAGCCCAGGTGGGGCCGGGGCGCGGCCAGGAGCTTCCTGCAAGATTGGAGCTGGGTCTGGAAGCGCGGGGAGGAGCCTGGGAAGTGGGGAGGAGCCCGGCAAACCGTTTCTGCAGGTGCTGGTGCTCTTCCTGCCCTGGGAGGCCCCTCGAAGGTGCTGGGAGGCCGCTCGAAGGTTGTTGCTGGTGTCTGCAGCAGTTCTGAGGAGCAAGAACCCTCCCTGGGTCCCAGGACCCTCTCTCCTCTGCCTCAGCGTCCAGGTGCCCGGAGCCAGCTGCCTCGCTGGCCATCCCCTTCCCTCGTCCTTGCCTTGAGGCCCAGGGACCCGTGAGTACCAGATGCTGTTATCAGGGGCCTGAGCTGCAGTCTATTAAGATTTAAAGAGATTTAATGTAACGAGACAAGCACGAGAGGGAATTTAATTTAGAGATAAAAAAGTAATCAAATCTCAACTTGTGGACAGAGGACAGTGCCTGGATGCCGATTGTTTTCATACAGCAACCCGCAGCCACGTTACGAGGCAATTAACACAGCTGCTGGGCTTCAGAACCGCAGGGCAGAGCCCCTCTGAGCCCTGAGCTGCGGCCACCTGGTCACACACAGCTCATAAACCGTTTTCCCGCAGAAGTTCTGAGGGTGTGGGCTCAGCTGGGGGGGAGGGAGTGTCTCCTCACGGTCCTTTCCATGAAGCCAGATCTGCTGAAGCCTCACGGGGAGCCGCTATGGGCACGAACGCCTCCCACCCGCCCGCAGTTCTAGAAAACGACTCTGCGGCTTTTTCCAATGCTCTGTTGTCTGCACCAACGCTTCCTTCCTGCCTTTGGCGTCTTCTTGGGAGCAGCTGTGGCCTGTCCCCCGGCACCCTTCCCAGTGGGGGATGGACTTGCGGGGGATGGGTGTGGGGGATGGACTTGCGGGGGATGGTTAGGGGATGGTCTGTAGGGTTGGGTCTGCGGGGGTTTGTGCCACCCCTGCCCTGCATCTCAGCCTGTTTGTCCTCATCTTGTTCTTGCTTTGTTGGCCACACTGCATCTCACCTCACACAAAGGCCTCCAGCATTGTTTCTTTGCCTGGGAACCTGCAGGGGCCTCCTCTGCACTGGAAGTTGTACAGGATTTGTGGGTCCATCCCTCAGCCTCCAGCCCTGACACCGCCCCTGCCCCAGGGCCTTTGCACCTACTCCTCCTTCTGCCCGGAACCCTCGCCCACAGCTGCCTCTTTCTCTCAAATATGTTTCCTGCGACTGCCGTCCAGCACAGCACACATGGGGCCACCAGAATCGACAGAACCTCGCCTTCCCTCTGTTCCGGAGGCCGGAGGGCTGAGGCCGAGGCGTGCTGGCTGGGCTCTTGGAGGCGCGGAGCCAGAGTCCCCCCAACTCCAGGCCTCTCTGCCTCTGCTGCTGCCTGTGGTTCTGGGCCTGTGGCGCATTCTCCAGCCTTGGCCACTGCCTTCCGTGGCCTCCCTCTCTGAGCTCACATCTCCCTCCCCCCTCTCTGAGCTCACGTCTCCCTCCCCTCTCTCTGAGCTCACGTCTCCCTCCCCTCTCTCTGAGCTCACGTCTCCCTCCCCTCTCTCTGAGCTCACGTCTCCCTCCCCTCTCTCTGAGCTCACGTCTCCCTCCCCTCTCTCTGAGCTCACGTCTCCCTCCCCTCTCTGAGCTCACGTCTCCCCTCTCTCTGAGCTCACGTCTCCCTCCCCCCTCTCTGAGCTCACGTCTCCCTCTCTCTGAGCTCACGTCTCCCTCCCCCCTCTCTGAGCTCACGTCTCCCTCCCCTCTCTCGGAGCTCACGTCTCCCTCCCCTCTCTGAGCTCACGTCTCCCTCCCCTCTCTCTGAGCTCACGTCTCCCTCCCCCCTCTCTGAGCTCATCACGTCTCCCTCTCTCTGAGCTCACGTCTCCCTCCCCCCTCTCTGAGCTCACGTCTCCCTCCCCTCTCTCGGAGCTCACGTCTCCCTCCCCTCTCTGAGCTCACGTCTCCCTCCCCTCTCTCTGAGCTCACGTCTCCCTCCCCCCTCTCTGAGCTCATCACGTCTCCCTCTCTCTGAGCTCACGTCTCCCTCCCCTCTCTCTGAGCTCACGTCTCCCTCCCCCATGTCTGAGCTCACGTCTCCCTCCCCTCTCTCTGAGCTCACGTCTCCCTCCCCTCTCTCGGAGCTCACGTCTCCCTCCCCTCTCTCTGAGCTCATCACGTCTCCCTCTCTCTGAGCTCACGTCTCCCTCCCCTCTCTCTGAGCTCACGTCTCCCTCCCCTCTGAGCTCACGTCTCCCTCCCCCATGTCTGAGCTCACGTCTCCCTCCCCTCTCTCTGAGCTCACGTCTCCCTCCCCTCTCTCTGAGCTCACGTCTCCCTCCCCCATGTCTGAGCTCACGTCTCCCTCCCCCATGTCTGAGCTCACGTCTCCCTCCCCTCTCTCTGAGCTCACGTCTCCCTCCCCTCTCTCTGAGCTCACGTCTCCCTCCCCTCTCTCTCTGAGCTCACGTCTCCCTCCCCTCTCTCTGAGCTCATGTCTCCCTCCCCCGTCTCTGAGCTCACGTCTCCCTCTCCTCTCTCTGAGCTCACATCTCCTCTCTCTCTCTTATGTATAGGATGCTTGTCATTGGATGTAGGATCCTTCTAAATCCGGGACAGTCTCATCTCTGGATCCTTAACCCAGTACATCTGCAATGACATCGATTTCCAAATACGGTCCCATCACAGGCCCTGGGGTGTGGGCATGGTCAGTGGTTCTGGGGGCCTCCCTTCAGCCCACTCTCCCCACTCATCATTCAGGGGGAAGCTCAGTGGCCCCGGCTACCCCTGCCGCCCACTCAAGCAATGCCCACTTCTTCGCTACTCTTTTTTCTTTATGGAGCTCATTTATTTCTGAGATTAACACGCCTCACCTACTGCCAGGTTACCTGGAGGGCAGGGACATGGTGTATTTACTCTGAGCTGTGTCCTTGGTCCACGGTGCCGTCTCGGGAAGGCCTGCTGAGTGGGCGAGCGAGTCTCCCTGGGCTGAGGGTTTGCACATGGGCGGTGGGTGGGCCAGAGCCCTCTCCCCATCTCAGGAGGGCACACTGGTTCCAGACCCCACCTGTGACGGCCTCTCTACAGGGATTTCCACCCCGGATCACGGTCACCCCCTTCCCTAGGACCCGGCCTGTGCTTTTCTCCTGCTTTGAGAAGGCCTGGTGAGCCCCTTGCCCCATGAGGGGTGGCAGGTGCGAGTGTCTTGTGGCGGAATTTCAGGATCTCCCTCCATAGGCCCTAAGTCCTGGCGACTAAGCACATCCTTCAAGATCGTTCTGAGAAGGTGGCGTAGGCTAGGGTGGGGGTGGCTGAGAAGGGAGGGCCGTGGGGAACGTTTTCCTCTTCCCTGCCCTCAGAAACACAATCTCCCATCCGGAGTGAGCAGCTCCTGGTGGCTGGGCAGTGCCTGGCTCTGGCATTCTAGTCCAGGACGGGGGCCCCTGTGCGGCAGGCCAGGCTCCCTGACCCCGGACCCCGGTCTTCCCCACGCCCTCCCCTGCAGTGCAGGGCTCCACACAGCCAATTCTCTCTCCTCGCAGTGAGGCACTGAGGCAGGAGGGAGGGTGACAACCTAGACCCGAAGTGAGCCAGTTGCCCAAGGAGAGAAAAGCTGCTCAGGTTTTGGGGTGACTGGGGCGGGGGTAGAGGGCACGAGGCTGGCTCAGGGCCCTGGGGAGCAGGGACTCCTACTGTGGATTAATTTGCTGCACACCTGCAAATTAGCTGGGTGTGGCTTCTGTCTGCCTGTGTACTGGGTGCTGCCTCGTGTGAGCTGAGGACGAGGAAGGGAGGGCAGAGGTGGAGGAGGGACACACTGGTCGACAGGGCGGCTGCAGCTCTGAGGCCAGGGCTCCAGGAATTCAGGCTTGCTCTGGGGTCTTTGATCTCTGTGTTCTGGGGGCTGCAGGAGCCTCGCTCACATCCTGACACCCCCTTAGCTCCAGTCCCTGCTCTAGCCCCAGTTCAGGGATTGCACTGTGGTGGCTGAAATCTTGTTTGTCCACCAGGAGGACCCCCCTGGACCGGGGCCAACGGCTGACCCCTCCTCAGCCTTTGTTCTCCTTGTGGTACATTTGTGACCTCAGTGGCCGGCTCAATGCCACCTGGGCTGTCCAGGCACGTGGATGTTCCCGGAGCCCTGGGAATCACTTTGCCTGCACCTGAAGGGCAGCCAGGACAGAGGGGCCTCTCCTGAGGGCGGTGAGGCCACTTTGCTGTGTCAGATTCATGGACTGTAATGAAATTCATCAGATGAGAAACAGACAAAGGAAAATACAGTATGAAAGGTGGAGCCGTGTTCCTCTCCTTTAAAAAGATTTAAAAAACTGTGAACAGGGCGGAAATATTCCTTTGGTCATGACCCAGCGTTAAAAACGTGTAAAATCCTGCATGGTTGCTTCCAGCCCCTCTGTGCTTTTCCTCCATTCAAGGTACTCGATTGTTTCTGTAAAAATAACACATGCTCATTACAAAGAATTTAATCAATGCAGAAATGTGCCAGGAAAAACATGCCTTCGCCCAGGAAAAGCTGGCACTGGTATCCAGTGATCGTGACTCCAGGTGAATAACGGAGAAGCAGAAACACTGAACACGCTGCAGGTGCTATTTTCAGTCAGAGTTAAATTTCATTCACTTGAGCTTAAGATGAGAAAAGGAAACTCACGGAGTTTTTTTGACTGGCAAATGAGTAGTTCTCTGTCAACTTATTTTTGAGAGTGCTCTCTGAGGCTGTTGTAAAAAGTTTACAAAGCACTGCAAGGTTCGAGTCATCTTTTAAGCATATATGACACTTTTAGACATGGCCGTAAAACATGAAGAATTCGTGTGTTGATTCTTCTGCCTCTTTTCCTCCCACCTTCCGACTTGTTGGTTTTATCCTTGCTTTTAGATTGTCCTGCTTTGCAACGCTGGTTTGCACTCTGTGACGGTAATTCCTGCGCCACTGGGTATGGGCCGTCTTTCCACGACCCCGTACTCTCGTGAACACAGTGGCTGCCGCTTCTCTATTCCTGAAGTTGGATTCCACTCTGGATTGCTTTGCCGGCTGGAATCTGTGTTTTCAGGAAGAGCTCTTGTGTGCTGACGATCCTTCATGCTGGAGGGTGAGCACCTCTGCCTGCGTACTGGGTGCTGCCTTAGCTGGGTGTGGCTTCTGTGGCCCTGCAGCCATTCCCTCCACACCCAGCCGTGGTTTTCCTGTGTCTTTTGGCTCCGAAGACGGATGGGAACGACTGAGGCCAGTATGGCTGATTGTTTTCTTGCAAATGGTTTACTTTTTGTTGCCTAAAGAGTCTTCTTTACCCTCAGTGCTCAGGGTCGGATGTTTTCTTTCAACATTTTCTGGAAAATAATACCCTCTTCAGATCTGCCAGTCCAATGTGTTTATTATTATTGTTGTTGTTTCAGAGAAATTTGTCTTTGGATACACCATGTCTTCCACTTGCTGGGCTCTTGACTTCAGGGAAACCCTTTTTCCTTATGTTGATTTTTTGCACGTCTTTCATGTTGATTAGCTTCTCTCTCAACGTCTCTTTCATCTACATTTACTCTGCTGATTTCAAGATTTTCTCCTAGGGGGATATTTGATTTTCAGTGACAGATAATACAAAATAGAAATGATAATAGAATTTGAAAAATATAACTTAGTAAATGCTGGTGACATTATGGCTCCAGGCAAGGATTATCAACTGGCATTAAAACAATTCCGGGAATGGCAGACAAGGGGCCACGTCCACAGGGCGCCAGTGCAACCCCGTGAAGATGACCTTCCGGACACGGGCGTGGTGAGGCGGCTGGAAATGGAGGCGGCAGCGTGTGCTCGCTCCCTGCCCGGGCTGACCCCGCCGTGCTCGCTCCCTGCCCGGGCTGACCCCGCCGTGCTCGCTCCCTCCCCGGGCTGACCCCGCCGTGCTCGCTCCCTCCCCGGGCTGACCCCGCCGTGCTCGCTCCCTCCCCGGGCTGACCCCGCCGTGCTCGCTCCCTCCCTGGGCTGACCCCGCCGTGCTCGCTCCCTCCCCGGGCTGACCTCGCCGTGCTCGTTCCCTCCCCGGGCTGACCTCGCCGTGGCTCACACTGGTGCGGCCGGACATCGTTGTTGTGAGGAACTCGACAGACACAGCGCGGCCTGTGGAGAGCGGACACGCCAGACTTCTGGTGATTTCAGCCTTTAGAGTGACCTGCAGCGTCCAGATAGCGGCAGAGGTGGAGCTGAGAACACCAGGCAGAGCAACGCGACCGTCCAGCCACCGAGGCGCCTGCAGAACCAGCGTCCGGTGTCCCCTCAGCAGGCCGGACTCTGCTTGGTGGCACGACAGCCCAGGGCCACGGGTGGCGCTCGGTGGGTTCTGCTTTCCACAGACCTGCTGCCCGGGACAGTTTTTAGGTCAGTTCAGGCCTGAGTATTCGCTGAGTCAAAACAGTGTGAAACAGAATGGAGGGGACCGCGCACCGATCTAGGCAGGCAGCGGTGAGGGGTGTGTGCCGGGTGTCCACGCGGGTGTGGGCTGTGTGAGTGTTCGCACAAGGAAGGGGCTGAAGGGCCTGCACTGTGGAAACGTGGAATTTTCATTTTTATTTTTTTGTCGGAGTCTTACTCTGTCTCCCAGGCTGGAGTGCAGCGGCATAATCTCGGCTCACCGCAGCCTCCACCTCCCGGGTTCAAGCGAGTCTCTTGCCTCAACTTCCGGAGTAGCTGGGACTACAGGCCTGTGCCACCATGTATTTTTATTTGTATTTTTTTTTTTGAGACAGAGTTTCACTCTTGCCCCGCAGGCTGGAGTGCAATGGCGCGATCTCGGCTCACGGCAACCTCCACCTCCCAGGTTCAAGTGATTCTCCTGCCTGAACCTCCCTAGTAGCTGGGATTACAGATGCACGCTACCAAACCCAGCTAATTTTTGTATTTATTTATTTATTTCTTTAGCAGAGATGGGTTTCGCCATGTTGGTCAGGCTGGTCTCAAACTCCTAACCTCAGGTGATCCGCCCACCTCGGCCTCCCAAAGTGCTGGGACAACGGGCGTGAGCCACAGTGCCCAGCCCGCCATGTATTTTTAGTAGAGACAGGGTTTCATTATGTTGACCATGCTGGTCTCAAACTCCTGACCGCAAGTGTTTTCTCATTTTGCTTATATTTTCTAATATTCTAAAATGCGTATCTATTACTTCTATAATAATAAAAGGGTTGTTTTACAAATAAAAGTAGTATACATAATTCTTAAAACATTGATTTTTAATGGTGCTATTATATGTCTCAGCGCTTTTAGGTTCTTTATTAGGACCTTAATGGTGTTATTTTGGTCTTCAATTTGTTTCCTTAGATCTGCAATCTCTCTCTTCATATCACTTCATTTTATTACCTTATTTTAAATTCTTATTTTTATTGAACTTAGGTTATTATTAAGTTGTTTTACTATGAAGAAATTATGAAAAACTTCCTTTGGTCCTAGAATTAGGTTTCCTGTGTTTCTGTCTGTCCCCTGCTCCATCTCTCTCCCCTCTCTCTCCCTCCCTCTCTATTTCCCTCTCTCTCCCTCTCTCTCTCTCCATCTCTCTCTGTCTCTCTCTTCCTCCCTCTCTCTCTCCTTCTGTGTCTCTCTCTCCCTCTCTCTGTCTCTCTCTCTGTCTCTGTCTGTCTCTTCCTCTCTGTCTCTCTCTCTCCCTGCCTCTCTCTCCCTCTGTCTCCATCTCTCTCTGTCTCTCTCTCTCCCCCCCTTTCCCCCCCTTTCCCCCCTCTGTCTCTCTCTTTCTCTCTCTTTCTCTCTCTCTGTCTCTCTCCCTCTCTCTCTGTCTCTCTCTTCCTCTCTGTCTCGCCCTCTTTCTCCCTCTCTATCTCCCTCTCTTATCTCCCTCTCTCTCTCCATCTCTCTCTGTCTCTCTCTCCCCCGTCTCTCCCCCTCTCTCTCTCATCCTCTTTCTCCCTATTTCCCCCTCTCTCTCCATCTCTCTCTGTCTCTCTGTCTCCTCCACTCTCTCTCTCTCTCCCCCTCTCTCTCCCTCTCTCTCTCCCTCTCTTTGTCTCTGTCTCTCTCTCTCTCCCCCCGCCCTCTCGGTCTCCCTCTCTCTCTGTGTCTCTCCTCCTCTCCCTGTCTCTGTCTTTCTCTCCCCCACTCTCTCTCTCCCTCCCTCTCTCTCGGTCTCCCTCTCTCTCTATCTGTCTCTCCCTCTCTCTGTCTTTCTCTCCCTCTCTCTTTCTCTCTCCCTCTCTGTCTGTCTCTCTCTCCCTCTCTGTCTGTCTGTCTCTCCCTCTCTATCTCTCTCTCTCTGTCTCTCCCTCTCTCTCTCTCTCTCTGTCCCTCCCCACTCCCCCTGTAGTGTCCAGGTGACCTTGACCTTGACATCTGGAGTATAATTGTCCAGATACTCCCTTTGCTCTGGTGTCATGGGGTGGCTTTGGACTCCTTCCTCTGGGCATCTGCCACAGACTGGTTGCCTCTTCTAGCCTCAGGTGGGGACTCCTGCGGGCGCGGGGATGGCAGGGAACGACAGTGTGCACCCTTTGCGTATTCGTGTAGCAGACCTTGCCTACCACGCAGCGACTCCCCTCCACCTCGTTTCTTACCAAACCTTGCTTCTGTTCAAGGCAGCCGTGTGCCCAGCTGGAAACAGAATCTGTTGTCCACACGTCCCTTGCAGTTAGGCATGGCCATGGGACGGATTCTGGTCTGTGGGGACTTAAAGGGACGTGTCTCCTTAGGTGCTGTCCCTCTCCCTGCCCCGTCCCCCTTTGTTCCTGATGGCACCTTGATGGCTGGGGCTGCGTCCTGTACTCTTCTTGCAGAGACCTCAGCTGTGGTGGCCTTAAGCCATGCAGGTCCCCGTGGTCTTCTTGCTGTGAGTAGAGATCCTCTGGGGACTATGATAAAATGCACAAGATGCTGGTAAGATTCAGGTTTGGCAGCTCTGGGGAAGGGCCTGGGGCTCTGCATTCCCGAGGGGCTCTTGCATGATGTGGAAGCAGCTGGCCTGGGGCCACACTCTGAGGAGCAGGTGTTCAGCCGCTGTTTCGTCAGGTTTCAGCTACGCGTAGCTGGGTGTGACCCCTGCCTGGGGTGCTGGGCTCTGGGTCTCCCAGACTGTGAATTCCCTGCAGGTTTTATTTTTCGAGATGGGAGGGGTGTCCCTCACTCCCTGGGGAGGCCCCGGGGCTGGGGCTCTATGCAGAGTCCTGGAGCCTTCGTGCTGCCAGACAGAGCCAACCCCAGCATCCGCGTCCCCTGGGCTTGCCTCTGTGCTGGACATTTCCTAAGCCTCAGGCAGGCAGAGTGGGGGGCAAAGCTCTCCAGGGTTTGCTCCTCTGAACCTGGGAACATTAATGAGAGTAATGAGAGTGCTGGGGTTTGACTCACTCAACAGTCTTTAAAAATAATGTATTTTAGTATCACAACGACAGTGAGGATCCAGAAGGCATTGCTCTGGGGCTGCTGTAGGGAGTAGTCGCAGTCGATTTGCCTCCGAGCACCAGTGATTCATCCACGTCACCCAGTTTCTCCCGAGCATGTTTCCTGGAGGCCGAGCCCACGCTGTCGGGAAGGGCCCTCTCTTTGCTGTGCGGAATTCACAAGCAGGGCTGGAGAGAGGAGCAGGGGCCTGGACCCGAGTCCTTCATGACGGGGTGAGGCGAGTGCACCCTGTGGGCCAGGCTGGGTGGGTGGGGAGGGCAGGCGTTGGCCTCACCCTCGGGACAGGGCCCTCCCCCAGGGAGAGAGGATGCAGCGCCAGGGCAGTGGCTCGGCCACCTCAGGTGAGGAGTAAATCACGTATAGCAAAGCGCCCACATTCAGTCGGTTGCTCTGTCCCCCAGGCCATCCCCGTGGCAACTCTGCTGTTTGTTCTGCTGACCAGGGTCCACTGAGTACCTGCCATGCCCTGCCCTGGGCCAGGAGGTCCAACCTGGCGGAATGCAACGGTCAAGGTCTCGGTCTGCGGCGTCCATCCTGGGCTGACGCACTGGGGAATCATTGATTGTCCCAAACTGTGACGACTGTGGGAAGGAAAGTGTCAGAGTGTATCAAAGTCTGTGACTCAGGCTGGGGTGCTCTTGGGGGCTTCTCCAGAGGGGACACTCTCCTGGGCCCAGGTGTGGCTGGAGAGGAGGGAGGTGAGGCTGCCCGGGCCAGTGGTGCTGCATGCTGAGCTGCAAGGAGGGCAGGCCTCGGTCAGTAGGGGCCAGCGGGTCCCAGCCCAGGCGCTGAGGGAGGGGTCGCTGCATTTCCCCCGGCTCTCACCCACCTGTCTCCCACCCCTGCCATGTGACTCAGCCGCTCACCCTCCCGAGGGTGGAGTCTCTTTCCGTTCCTTTGTTCTGTGTCTGGCCGTGGGATGGGACGAGGGCAGAGGCTGGGAAGGCACCTGCTGGCTCTTCCTCTCTCCTTCACCATCACTGAGCAGTGTCTAGGCTCCCCAGCTGAGAATGAGACACATCGAGGGATGGGACAGAGCTGCCTGGTGGCAGCAGAGAGACAAGCAGCCCCAGACTAGTGAGTGAGCCCCGAGTGACCCCAGCGAGGACAGAAGAGTCACCTGAGCTCAGCCTGACCCCTGACCTGCAGCTTGTGAGCTAAATAAATACTCGGGTTGAAACCAGAGTTTCCGGGTGATTTGTTTCTAAGCATTATTGCTACAAAGGTGAACTGATGTGGTGAGGAAGGGCAAAAGGAGGCTGGAGGGAGTGGGATAGACTCTGCACGGCCTGAGGCCATGCACAGTGAGAAGTCTGGGGCACTGAGCAGTTGGGGCGGGGGTGACGGGTCAGCTGTGACCTCCCCATGCACTTAGCACTCTCCAGAGGGCTCTGAGAATCTCATTTGCCACGAGGAAGAGCCTTGGGGGAGCTCACTGGGCAGGGGGTGGTCTGGGCTGGGCATAAGTGGGATTGAGGCCAGGCCAGGCTGGTGGGGGCGTGGGCCCCCAGGACTCGGACCTCAGGGGCTGGAGGGATGCTCAGGGCTTCCTCCACCCGAGGGATAACAGCAGAGGGAGCCTCTAACCTCCTTCCTCCGCTGGCGTCGGGAAACAGCCGTGGGGCTCATGGGCCTCCTTGGAGGTTCTATGCCGCTCCTCTATCACCCATCTCCCGCTCAGCGTGGGGAGGAAAGGACCGCTGAGTTCTATTATCCCCAAAGCTGAAGGATGATCTCGAGTTTTATCTGCGAGGAAACTCATTTGATTTTAAATGATTTTCAGCCTGGAAGTTAGTAGATTTTAGGAGGCTCTTAAATAAATTGCTTAGAAATAAAGATGAGCTTCTTGGTTTACGGTGAAACTTAATCTGTCCTGACTGGAACACTTGCAGAGATTTGGCTCAGGGATGCTGGACCTGACTAGGCAGATCAGAGAGACGGGGGTGTCCTCGGTGTCAAAAATGGGGTTGTGCAAATGTGCCACATCTGTGACATATTTACTGTTCTTTGTGCTTTTGCATGTAGAAAAATAAACTTTTTCTGATTATGTCAGTACTTGATGTTTATTGTAGAGAACTAGTAAAATAAACTGAAGTGTAAAAAAGAAAATAGGTGTTGTCTCTGAAGCTGTAGCTACATGAAAACCACACTTTACATTTCGGTTATGTATTCCACATAACTCTCCTCCTCAATTTTACAAAACCGAGTGCGTACTAGGCATGAGTTTATAACATTTTAAAAACGTAATAGATTCTGTATACATTATACTTTTTATAACATGATTTAAATGCTGGAGGGGTAGCCATTGTTTAAACACACTGCATTTATCCAGCCAGTCTCCTCCTGCTGGATGTGGAGCTCTTCCCTCGCTGTTTCAGTGTACGAGTCAACCTAGGCTGGGTGTTGCTGCAGGGAAAAGCTAATGCCAAACCTCAGTGGCTGTGATGGTTATTCCTAGGTATCAACTTGCCTAGGCTAAGGGATACCTAGAAAGCTGGTGAAACATTCTTACTGTGTGTGTCTTCGTGATGCCTGAGTTGGTGGACAGAGTGGAGAAGCTCCGCCCTCACCCATCCAGTCCACTGGGGGCCCAGAGAGAACGAAAAGGTGGAGGAAAGGTGAATTCCCTCTCTCTCTCTTTCTCTTGCCCCCTCTCCCTGCCTCCTCCTTCCTCTCTCTGTCTCTCGCCCTCTCTTTCTCCCTCTCTTTCTCCCTCTCTTTCTCCCTCTCTTTCTCTCTCTCTCTCTCCTGGAACAGGAATGCCCTTCTTATTTTATTTTATTTTATTTTTTATTTTTAGAGACGGAGTCTTGATCTGTTGTCCAGGCTGGAGTGTGGTGGCACGATCTCAGCTCACTGTAAGCTCCGCCTCCCGGGTTCATGCCATTCTCCTGCCTCAGCCTCCCAAGTAGCTGGGACTATAGGTGCCCGCCACAGTGCCTGGCTAATTTTTGTATTTTTAGTAGAGTTGGGGTTTCACCGTGTTAGCCAGGGTAGTCTCGATCTCCTGACCTCATGATCTACCCGCCTCGGCCTCCCAAAGTGCTGGGATTACAGGCGTGAGTCACTGTGCCCAGCCAGGAATGCCCTTCTTCTCCTGCCCTTGGAGATCAGAGCTCCAGGTTCCCTGGCCTTTGGCCCCCAGGGCTTAGCCAGCATCCGCCACCCCTTGTTCTCATGCCTTCAGCCTTGGATTCAGAGTCACACCATAACCTTCCCCGTTTCCGAGGCCTTCAGACTTGGACTGAGCCATGATATCGGCTTCCTTGTTTCTCCAGCGTGCAGACAGCCTGTGGGACTTCTCAGTCTCTATAATCACTCGAAAGAAATTGAAGAGGATACAAACAAATGGAAAGACATCCCATGCTCATGGGTCAGAATTAATGTCGTTAAAATGGCCATACTACCCGAAGCGGTCTACAGATTCAATGCAATTCCTATCAAAATACCCATGACATTCTTCACAGAAATAGAAAAAAACTTAACATTAAAAAGATCTTAACAATCTTAACATTAAAATTCTTAACCACAAAAGACACAGAATAGCCCAAGCAATCCTGAGCAAAAAGAACAAAGCTGGTACAAAAATTAGCTGGATGTGGTGGCACACACCTGTAATTCCAGCTGCTTGGGAAGCTGAGGCAGGAGAATCGTTTGAACCTAGGAGGCAGAGGTTGCAGTGAGCTGAGATTGTGCCACTGCACTCCAGCCTGGGCCACAGAGTGAAACTCCATCTAAAAAAAAAAAAAAAAAAGTGCTGGAGGAATCACATTACCAGACCTCAGAATATATGACAAAGCTGTAGTAACCAAAACAGCATGGTACCGGCATTAAAAAAACAGATACATAGACCAATGCAACAGAGTAGATAACCTAGAAATTAATCCATCTATCTACCACTAACTGATTTTTAACAAAGGTGCCAAGAACACCCACTGGGGAAAAGGACAACCTCTTCAATAAAAGATGCTGGAAAACCTGGATATCCATAATGCAGAAGAATGAAGCTAGACCCCCACCTTTCACCCTACACAAAAATCAATTCACAAGGGATAAAAAACCTGAGTGGAAGACCCAAAAGTACGAAACAAAGGGAGAATGCCTTAGGACATTGGTCGGGAAAATATTTTATCAGTAAAATCGCAAAAGCACAGGCAACACAAGCAAAAATAAACACATGGAGTTTATGTCAAACTAAAAAGCTTCTGCATGGTGAGGGAAGCAATCAAGAGAGTGAAAAGCCAACCTACCAAATGGGAGAAGATATTTATCAACTACTCATTTGACAAGGAACTAACATCCAGAACATACAAGAAACTCAAAAAACTCAACAACAAAAAACCAGATTAAACAGCAACAATTTGATTAAAACATTGGCAAATGATCTGAACAGACATTTCTCAAAAGAAGACATGCAAATTGTCAACAGATCTATAAAAAAATGCTCAACATCACTAACCATCAGGGAACTGCAAATCAAAACCACGAGGAGACACCATCTTATACCAGTCAGAGCTGGTCTATTATCAAAACAAGTAACAAATGCTGGCAGGGATGCAGAGAAAAGGCAACCTGCACCCTGTTGGTGGGAAGGTGAATGAACACAACCGCTGTGGAGAACAGCACGGAGCTTCCTCAGGAAACTGCAGACAGGACCACACGATCCAGCAACCCCCCTTCTGGGTGTTTATCCAAAGGGAAGGAAGTCAGTGCATCGGAGAGACGTCCTCACCCTGTGTTGACTGCAGCACCGTTCACAGCAGCCATGATACGGAACCAACTTGGGTGTCTGACAGCAGATGATTGATGAAGAAAGTGTGGCACACACACCGCAGAATATTATTCAGCCATGAAAAAGAATGAGATCCTGTCATTGGTGGCAACATGGATGGAACTGGAGGACATTAGGTTAAATGAAATAAGCCAGGAACAGAAAGACAAATTTCACATGTTCTCACATGGGGAAGCTAAAAAATGTTGACCTCAAATAAGTAAAAAGTAGAATAGAACATACTGGATGGTGGGAAGGGGAGGGGAAAGGAGAGGGAAAGACTTGTTAAAGGAAACAAAATTACGGCCAGGCAGGGGAAGGTGTGAGTGTCTATGTCACTACAGGATGACCAGAGTTGACATGTTACATAGTTTCAAACAGCTGGAAGGACATTGAATGCTCCTAACAGAAAGAAATACGTGTTTGACACAACGGTGTTAAAAAAAAAAGAAACTTCAGCCAAATTAAATCTAAAAGAGTATAATTGAGCAAAGAACAATTTGTAAATTGGGCAACCTCCCGAGCCAGAGTGGGTGCAGAGACTCCCGTGCAGCCACGTGGGGGAAGATTTATGGACGGGAAAAGGAAAGTGATGTACAGAAAACGGAAGTGAGGGACAGAAACAGCCGGATTGGTGGCAGCTTGGCATTTGTCTTATTTGAACACGGTTTGAACAGTTGACCACCTGTGATTGGCCAAAACTCAGTGATTGGCACTAGAGTAGGTGACAGTCTGTTTGCACCTCCGTGTAGGCTACAGTTCACCACGTACAGAGAAACCTTCAGGCCGAACTTAAAACGTGGAAGGATGCAGCTTTAGGCCAATGGATTTGATTTAACAATGGACACACTAATTACCCTTTGTGGTCAGTGTGGGTTATATATATCAAAAGAGCACTATGGAACCCTTGACTATCATGCAATTATTCTATGTCAAAACATTTAACAATTGGGAAAATACAAATTACTCCGAAGAGGAAATGGAGACATAGAAATCTTCTCCAAAGAAGATATGCAAAGCCAACAAACCCATGAAAAGATGCTCCATGTCACTCATCATTAGGGACATGCAGATCAAACCGCAGTGAGAAACCACCTCGCACACATGCTAAAAGCCGGAAAGTACAAGTGTTGGTGAAAATGCAGAGAAACTGGAATCCTTGTGCATCGCTGGTGGGAAGGAGAGTGGTGTAGCTACTGCACAGAAGAGAGCGTGGAGGGTCCTCAAAAAATTAAAACTAGAGCTACCGTTGGATCAGCAATTCCTCTCTGGGTAGACATCCAAAAGAGTTAAAGGCAATAGCTGGGCACGGTGGCTCACGCCTGTAATTCTAGCACTGCGGGAGGCTGAGGCAGGAGGATCACCTGAGGTCAGGAGTTCAAGACCAGCCTGGCCAACATGGTGAAACCCCGTCTCTACTAAGAGTACAAAAAATTAGCCGGTCATGATGGCAGGTGCCTGTAATCCCAGCTATTCGGGAGGCTGAGGCAGGAGAATCACTTGAACCCGGGAGGCAGAGGTTGCAGTCAGCCAAGATCACACCACTGCATTCCAGCCTGGGCAACAGAGCAAGACTCCGACTCAAGAAAAAAAAAATTGAAAGCAAGGTCTCAAAGAGATATTTGCACAGCCATGTTCATACAACATTATTCACAATAGACAACAGGTGAACACAGCCCAGGTGTCCATTGACATGAACAGATAAACTCAATGCAGTCTACCCATACAATGGGACATTATTCTGCCTTAAAAAGGAAGGAAATTCTAACGCAGGCTGCAAGGTGGATGGACCTCAAGGACATTAGGCGAAGTGAGCTGAGCCAGTGACAGAAGGACAAATCCCGTCTCCGCTTATATGAGGTCCCCAGAATCATCAGATTTAGAGAAAGTAGAACAGAGGTTGCTAGAGCTGGGGGAGGGCAGTGGGGAGTTTGTGCTTCCTGGGGACAGGGTTTCCGTTTGGGAGGATGGGAAGGTTCCGGAGGTGGGAAGGTTCCGGAGGTGGGAAGGTTCTGGAGGTGGGCGCTGGTGATGGCTGCACAGCAACATGAATGTGCCTCCTGCTGCTGAAGATGCAGTTTTAAGAATGGTTAAAAATGGTTAAAACGGCAAAACTTATGTCATGCATATTTTGCCACAATTAAAAATAATTAATTGCTGCCATGGGCGGTGGCTCACGCCTGTTATCCCAGCACTTCAGGAGGCTGAGGCAGGCAGGCAGATCACAAGGTCAAGAGATCGAGACCG